CCCACTGCAGCAGTCTGGCAGTGGGGGCTGCTGCCTGGCTGTGACCTGCTGTGCACCTGCCAGACCCAGATGGGGACTGCACGGCCAGCTGCCAGTGGACTGTGGTTGTAGGGTTGACCTCTGTGCAGCACTACTGCCATATGTGCCCCCTGCCCGGCCATCTGGGCAGCTATCACACAGAAGATGTTCCAGGTGTGGTGGCCTGGTATGAACTGTCAAAGCATGTCCTCCTGGCCCCATTTGGCCAGGAGGTCAGCCACAGCCTGCTGGGTCCAAGGTGCCAGCTCTGAGCAGGCAGGGTCCTGCTACTGGCCTCCCTAGCAGGAATTCTGGTGCTCCCTATTGGAAAACTGAAAAATCCCTGATAAAAAAATCCCAAAGTCACTCTGTAAAATACCGTCAAATCCATGTTCCTCCACAAGTAAAACAAAAGACCACTATAAAGAGAGACAGACAGACAGAAACAGCAATCAGTTGGACAATGTTTTATTGAAATATCTTACAGTGTTAAAGCAAGAGTCTTATCATAATAATAAAGTGAATTCTAAATACATGTTTCATGAATACATATTTTAGTGCCCTCCCACAGGGGTGATGGCCCCCACACAGGGGTTATGTCACCCCAACAGGGGATTTGGCCCCCACACAGGGGCTATGGCCCCCCAACAGGGGATTCAGCCCCCACACAAGGACTACAGCCCCCAAGCAGGGGATTCAGCCCCCCAACAGGGGGGGGCCTCGGGGGGGGCTGGCGGGGTTCCAGGGGCTGGCCAGGGCATGGGGCAGGGGGCTGGGGGAGTGGGCGGGGCTGATGGGGGTCCCCCCCATTGTCCCCTCCCCTCTCCTCCAGACCCCCCCGACCCCTTACTCATCGGCACTGAAGCCCTGGTGCTGAACATGCAGCCTGGCCGGCTGTGTGTTTCAGCACCAGGGTGAGGGGCCAACCACAGAGATGCTCTGGCAACCAGAGCATCTCTGTAGAAGACCCAGCCTCCAGTTGCCTCAGTTGCCTGCTCCACTTTTTTAAACTTTGATTTTTTTTAGACCCCTGGATATCCAGGGGTCTAATTTTCTCCCTGTGCTGCAAACTTGCAGCACGGGGAACATTTTTTCATTCCCGCACGTGCCTGTTGCCCCGCCTCAAATGTGTTTGAGATGGGGCAAGAGGCATGTGTGCACTTGTCTGGATGTGCCCCCTGAGTTTAATGTTTTGCTTAGAGAGTGTCATGGACAGAATACTTACCTCCACTGGAGAGAATGTTCAGTAGACTGAGAAACTGGTTTCTTTTTTTTTCTTCAACCTGAGATACAGAGATAGCTAAGAAACAAGAGAAAATATGTTTTTAAAAAGTGAGATAGATAAATAATAAAAGAACCTTAACACTGTTCTGGTGTTTTGTTACTATTAATCTTTTGTCTTATAGTTCTCCTTCCTTCCACTGCCTTCTAAGTTTCTTCAGATATCCATTCTTTTCTATTTTTGTTTCATATTCCTACTATTTCCTTTGCAGTGTCAACATATATCAAACTCAGTCTTTGATTCAGGGTTTCTATATCTTCTAATTCTCCTTCTAGGGCAGCAAATCTGTTTCAAATTTCTATGCTGAAGAAACTGGTATCTGAAGTCTGGCAATGTAAAACTTTCTTTCCTGGTTGCTTGTTGGTATATCTTCCTTTAGCTTGAGCCTGATCTTTGCTTTATGAAGTTGATCATCACTATTAATATATAGGTACTTTTTTTAGTTCTGACATCCATTTGTGAGCTTCTCTGTTTCCTATTTGTTAGAATATGGTCTGTCTAGTATATAGTCGCCTTGCTTAGTGGTGCCCATGTATGTTTGTGAGGAAGTATTGTTTGTCTGATGAGAAACTGATACATTTCTAATATTCTCATTTCTGGTTCCTGTTCCATTCTTCCCTATGGTTCACTCATGTTCTGAGCTGTCCAATGCATTCATTTCCTTTAGGTAAAATATTAAATGCAGCTACCTTTTAGCATTCAGGTCACCCATTATTATGAGCAAGTAATGTGGTAGAACTTCAGCTGTGCTGTATTGTTATAGAAATGATCTTTTGGGTTTTTTTCATTTTGTTTAGTTTTCTTCTCCATATTTTATGGGCACAGAACATAGTATTACTGCTAGTTTTCTGTATGGTGAATGAAATCACAGTTATTTATTTTCAGGTTTTCATTCAAGTAGTTATTTCTATGATTGGTGTGAGTATTTCTGTCTTCAAGAGTATTCTTTTCCTACCACATGCATGCAATGTGTTGACCCCAAGGATTGAAAGTCTCATTTCTTAAATGACTTGTGCTGTTTTTCCCATTTCATTTATTATTCATGTTGGCCAGCTGACTAAATATTCCTTTTTACCTAGATAAGGAGTGCGAACTTCCCTGGATTTCTGTAACCACTATTTCAAAAGTGGATGCCCATCCCTATGCTCAGTCCTCTTCATTTCCCATGTGGACTTGAGACTGGCTATGGTGAAGTTGGTTTTGATATTTGATATTAACTAATTAATAGAGGTCTGCAGTGCTGCCATTTTGGGTGAGCCTTCAAATAGTCTATTTTGTACTAAGATGGATTTTAATAATTGCTATAAGTATGCTATTAGTCAAAATGAAGCAGAAAGAAACACAATTATTGAAATAGACTGCTGTGACTGGAATCTATAGCTGATATATTAAGGCTCTACTGTCATGCTTAATAACTGACAGCTTGCAGGCAATTTTGGAGAGGAAAACGAACATTAGTAATGAGTTAACTGATCATTATTTCTTTTTTTATGCTATTAGAACAGTATCCTGTAGCATATCAATTAATAAGTTTTATCACACAAGCTGTCTGCTTTTTTCTTATATGCCCCCCCTCCCCCAGCTTTCCAGTACCCTCCTTGTGTAAACACTTTGATCAAAGTCTCCACTGGGTGAATAGCATGTCATTCATTCCCTGGCGGACCCAGGAAAATACCTCTACCTCAGTATGTGAATATTACTTGAGATACCTTTTGTTTTCCTCTTCATTAAAACAGAATGACCCAGGTTCAGATAGTCAAAACTATCTTGCCCTGCTTTGACTACTCTAATCCTCCTGATTACTTTAGCAAAAGAGAATTGTGACACTAAAAATCTGAAGGAAGTAACTAGCACAATGTAGCAGATTTACCTTTTGAGCTCTGGATGAGTCCTGGGCTCAAGATTCTGCAATTTCAATTGGTGGAGCCCATCCCCCAATCAGAAGCAAGCCAGTGTAAGCAAGGCCATGCCCTTTCCCCGAATGGAGGGGGGTAAGGAGCAGTCCGGACCTGGTTCGAGACTGTGCCTTGCCAGGTCTGGAGAACTTTGGGGGTGGAGCCCCTGAAATGTATAAAAGGAGCAGTGTGCCCTGCATGCAAGGAGATGCATTGGGATAGCTGAAGAAGGAAGATTGGAGGAAGAAAAGCTAGGGACAACCTGCCCCAGTGGGGAATAGCCCCAAGCTACTGAAGATCCTTGGGAGGGTGTGAGACCCTTGAGCTCATCACAGTGCAGGGGCCCACTGCACGGAGCAGTCCTGGGAGGATATGAGACCATCAGGCTCATCACAGTGCATAGTCCAACAAATGGAGTCCAGTGCAGCAAGGCAGCTTGGGCTTGCAGACCCCGGCAAGTGGCTGGCAACCACTGTGCACAGGACCTGGGCAAGAACCAGGAGTAGTGAGCAGTGAAAGGCTTCTCAGGTTAGCCACCTGGTCTGAGACTGGAAGGCTGGAGCCCCACATAGCAGAAAGAGCCCTGGTGCCAAGCTGGGAACAGAGAATGGGGAAGGCCGCCCCAGTGTGAGGCAGGTGGTTGGGGGCCCAGCAACCCTTCTGGGTGAAGCAGCTAGACCTCCGTGCTCAGAGCGAGGCATAGAGTAGTGCAAGCAAATCTGCAGAGGGCCATGAAGACCAAAGCAGGTGACATTGCAAAGCTTGGGTACCTAGGCTGAGGGCACCAGGCCACAAGGGGAGTTCAGAGGCAGCGTGGAAGAAGACATCATGGCGGGGAGCATCACACTGGGACAAGCCAGACCATCGGAAGGGCCATGAGTTATTGGAGCACTGGGGCCCTGACAAGGAGGGGAGGTATTAGGAGTGGCCTCACTAGAGCTGGGTGGAAGACTCCTCCCAGTGGGTGGGTCCTGAGACCCTGTTGGGAGGGGTGAGGGGTCCCCTGTTCTCCAGGCTCAGGGAATCAATTAATAATTAGACTTCTATGTGGTTGAGGTTCTGAGTTTACGTTGTGCTTTATATTTTATAAATAATATTGCTCTTATTATTTTAGTTCTGTTAACCACGATGCTGATAGGTTTGAGAGCTTGAAGAAATCTTTGGGTTAGTTGTGTACATATTTTTAAGTAATGGGTTTTACCCTCTGGGGTGAACATTATTGGATTCATTGGGTCGGGTAACTCATTTCTTGACTTGGAGATTATGAAAGTTATTTTGTAATATCAGGTATTCAATTATTTATAGCATATAAATGTTTTAATTATATTTGTAATAATAAAACTGTATATAGTTAAGTGTACACTCATGGGGTTGTCTCTATACAGAAACAGAGGGATCCGCATGTATGGCGGTGATGTCCCTCCTTCAGCACCCTAGCCTGTCACCACTTCCTTTCCATTTGTCTGGGAGAACACACCCTCGGTATACCCAGGTTACAAGTGCTTCTCCTATTACAATTCATTATTATCAGACAGAAGGTCATTTCCCTGAGTAAAATGTGAAGTTTCATCTTCCCCCACAACTTTTGCAGATGAGATTCACATTAATGGGGTTAGCTCCACACGTTTTCTGGCTGGCTGGCACTGGAGGAAGATGTGGGTGGCCATCTGGCTTCCTCTTCTGGGAAGAAATTAGTACATAACAATTTTTATATTTAAATTTTCTGAAAAAATGCCATGGCAAATTGGCCAAATGCCCTTCATGCTTATCTAGTTATTTTGGAAATCAGAACCTGTTCTTAAGGTGAAATTTCTCTCTTGCTCACTGGGAGGAAAATAGGATTGTAGCTAAAATTACAACCTGCAACTCTTAACCCACACTCCTATATTTCCATCTTTGCTATAAACTTTCTGTGAGACCTTGAGCAAATGACTTTACTTGAGCTGGAGTTTCCTCATCTTACCTATTTTACAGTGAAGTTGAAGGACCGTGACCCAAATCTACAAAGATGTTCAGGTTCTAATCCTGAATTCATTGATACTTCTAAGATACTGTGAGATATTTGAATGGAAAGTTGTTTACAAGTTCAAAGTTTTATTTCAGTTGGTTTTCTACAAGGAAACCAGCTCACCAGTTTGCATCCCAAAGTTTGCACCTGGGAATATGAAAATCTGAATGCAAATTTCAAAATTTAGTAAGCCAGCTCCCCTCACCCCAGCCCAGTTTGAGATCTTTTTGGTGTTCTCCAAGACCTTTGGATAACTTAGATTCTTCTGTACATTCACCCCCTTTAAAAGAAATTTGAACTGTGCATTCAAATAAGAAAAAAAATGTAAATATTGGTCAAAAATACAAGTGTCCATGAACATAGTTTGCATTCTGAATGATTTTTCAGTTTGACCATGTTTAGGTCCCATTTACTCACTATTTGTGATGCTCATGGTTGGATTTTTGTTGGCACCAGTATTGGGGAAATGACTGTCCTTTTCACAAATATTCATTTTGTGCAAGGAAGGGAGTATGTGTTTTAACAAGAATATTAGTTACACATCAATCAGTATTTGATACTCTCCTGCCCTTACAGTATAACACTACCTCTTTTCATCTGTAGATATCAGAATTCCTTCAAAAGAGACATGCATCAGTTATTCTTAGTTTAGAGGTGGGGAAACTTAAACACCAAATTGTTTAACTCCTCACACTGGCAAATGAATAAAAGTAAAGAATGTCAATCCCAATCCTTCTGTCCCCTCCATTGGATGACTGTCTCCTTCAAAAGTGTCACTTAGGCCCTCTCTACATGTTACAGGTATTGTGCAATTAGCTGGTTAATTGTCCAATTATCTGAAACCAGCTACATGTGCAAAGTGCCTATCACACTATAATAAGGTCCGTCCAGCTACAAGGTTAGACCTCAAAAATGTGTATTAACATTATAACTGGTTGGTATCCAGCCACAGGCGACTTGTAAGGGGCACACGGGGGGACACGTGCCCCTGCCCCCGCCTGAAATTGGCCACCACTGGCTTCTGTGGGTAGTTGCCACTTGCCACCCTGCCGCCAGTGCCGCCAGCACTGCTGACCCAAAATTGTGTCCCCCCAGTGTTGGGAGGCACCAGTCAT